CAAAGCAGTCCTGAATTGTGAGAGCAAGGACACAGACCTGGCGGTTGTGAATTTGACGATCGACGTAAATTTGTCCCTCAGTAATATAGCCCGTTAAATCAGGAATAGGGTGAGTGATGTCGTCGTTCGGCATCGTAAGGATTGGAATTTGAGTAATAGAACCACCTCTGCCCTCGACACGACCAGCTCGCTCGTAGATCGTTGCCAGATCAGTATACATGTAGCCGGGAAAACCACGTCGTCCAGGAACTTCCTCTCTAGCAGCAGAAACCTATCAAAAGAAAGGAATCTAGAGAACATTCGAGTTGAAGTATGAAGGAAAACCCAAAACGAATCTTAGAGACAACTAACCTCGCGCAGAGCTTCGGCGTACGAACTCATATCAGTTAAAATAACTAAGACGTGTTTCTCGCACTGGTAGGCAAGATATTCCGCCGTAGTAAGTGCGATACGGGGCGTGATGATGCGTTCTATGGTTGGATCGTTTGCAAGATTCAGGAACAAACACACATTCTCCATCGAACCATGCTCTTTGAAGTCTTGCATGAAGAAACGGGCGGTTTCCATGTTGACACCCATCGCAGCAAACACAATGGCAAAGTTGTCCCGTTCGTCTTCCTTGGCATCGGGGCCACCCCCATGTACAAGGCCAGCCTGGCGACAGATTTGAGCTGCAATTTCATTGTGAGGGAGACCGGACGCAGAGAAAATTGGGATCTTCTGTCCTCTTGCGATGGAATTCATGACGTCAATACTTGATATGCCAGTCTGTATCATTTCTTTCGGATAAATTCGACAATAAGGGTTAATAGGTTGACCCTGAATGTCCAAATAATCCTCGGCGAGAATAGCTGGACCACCGTCTTTCGGCTTTCCAGATCCGTTGAATACTCTCCCAAGCATGTCTTCAGACACCGCAGTACGTAGAATGTCACCCGTAAATTCACAAGTGGTATGCTTTGCGTCAATACCGCTGGTGCCTTCAAAGACTTGAACAACCGCCTTCTTTCCGCTCACTTCAAGGACTTGCCCACTTCTTATGCTACCATCTGCTAAAGTAAGTTTGACGATTTCGGCATATTTTGGAAATTTCACATTATCCAGAATAACTAGGGGTCCATTGACACCCGACACGGTCCTATAGCCTGAAAAAATGGGCTTTACTGAAATTTTGCATACTTATCCTCGGTTGTGCAACATAATCCCTAGTGACTGCTTGTTTGTGTACAAAATCAGCACCACCATCCATTGTCAAAGCCATAATCTGTAACAGTGTCTAATTAGCCGGCTAAAAAGGCAAGAAGTAAAACAATTAAATGTCCACAACAGGACAGTATTTAACTTTGCAGGAAATCAAAAATTGCTCAGAATTTTCTTCTATACAAAGTACGATCATAACGACGAATAAACGCAAACGAACCGGTGTGGTGTCCTCAAGTGCATTAGAGCGTATTATTTGAAGCTTCTCACTGTTTACTTACGTGAGCATGAAGAAGAACATATCCTAGTTAAGCCCTAATGGCAATGTTCCGGAAGCAAAGGTTAAAGTGGTTCCAGTGGAACCAAAGGTCCCACTTTGGTTCCACTTTGGTCCCACTGCGCCGTGATTGTGTATATGGGCGGTATTCCGTGCACTGTCCCGGGTAGTCTACAAGCTGTCATCGAAATCGATGTTTGAACACCCACACACAAGCTCCCACGTCCACCTGAGAAAAACCTTACGCGCCCGCACGCCTCCTGCATTTTTTACTTCCCCCCTCTCCAAATGCGGCGCCTGGATCGATGCCTTGCTCTGGGAACTTT